GATTCTGAGCAAAAAGCATATATGACTTTTTTCCTATGTTGTTCTTAGCACCCGTAAACAATGAGAACATTTCATTAGTCAGTTATGAATCCAGAATCGACATCTCTGTATTATATGCCCACCTTTCAGTGTATATCCAATTGATTTTCAACATGTTTTGGTTGGACTCGACAATAAAATGGTGTAATTTTGTGCCTATGCACTGCAGTTACTAAAATATAATACACTCGTAGCTTCTTTATAATGGTTCCTTAGGCTTCTAGAAGTGAAGGGACTACGGTGTATCTGCGTCATGCAAATTCGCAGGGGAATTAACAGAATGAAATGTCTGCATTTACTTTGATTTTCTTTTTATGAATTAGCTGCTGAATGCCGTGGCTTGGTTCTTAGTATGAGTAAGCAAGCAGTTTGAATTTGAAAGTTTCAGTTTTGCTGGTGTTTTTCGCTAATGATTGGTTCTCGGTCGCTTCGTGACATTTAAACACTAAGCCTTTAATGTACTGTAAATGTTACATATGTGATGGTATTTCAGGATGCGTGGACGAAGGTCAAACAGCTGGACGATACGCTGGCCACCGGTCGCCGTAACTTGGACCGAACTAACCTTGAGATGGCGGTGTTGCATCAATTGACCAAGGCGGTGATGCCTGACAAAGAACAAGTAGTTGATTGGACAGAGGCCGAGACTTCGTCATTCAGCTCCGCCCCTATCGTTGTCCGACAGACCCTCGCTCAGCTCTCATCGTCGTCGTAACCGAACGATGACAGTTGCGTTAATGGTGCACCGATATTGGGGAATTTTTGAGAATCGAAGATCGGTAGAGTGAAGAACTTTTGTTTTTTTTGTTGATGTAAACGTCTATTTTTGATTTTCAACGAATATTGGTAATTTTGACGTGACAGAAAAAATTCATCAATTTTTCGCTTGTGCCTGCGACATGTATTGTGCGTATCGGAAGAAATCGACCGATCGATTGATCGATCAAATGTGTGATGGGCTGGGCGTCGTTCTGGGCGTTGATTGGTCGACAATGCACACTCATTGTTAAATTGCTCACGGAACGTGACCTTGGCAAACGGCCAATTCACGGCCTTGCGCCCGCCTGCCGTCGCGCTGCTTTCTCTAGTTTTTGCGTTTGCGTGCGCGTGCGGTTCGTTGTCACGGGTCTCTGTGTGTAGCTGTTGTAGGGTCTTTGGTTTTTGCAGTTCATCGGTTTCTTATAAAAATAAACTTCGTTTTATCTTTATTTCGAATATCGAGCCGTTTTGCTGGGCTGCACAGACATTTTTTAAATCTTGTTTTTATCTAGTTTTTTTCTACAGTATGATCAAGGGCTGTGTTTTTACCTGCGCATCAGTTACGGTCACTGTTTTGCTGTTGTGAGCCAGTCGGTTATTAGTTATGCTGCATTGTTTCGGGCGTCGCCGTTCGACGGTTCACACAGGCTCTCGATGACAGCTACGAATTATTCGGCACGAGTAAAGTGAAAGTTCGTATGACGGTCGCCAGTCTTGCAGTCGTTCCGTCGTGGTGGCGCCCCTTTGCGAATTCGAATGCCGGTGTCGGTGCCGACGACCCCCCGTTCGAGCGCTAAAGCAGGAAACGACGAATGGCCGACGCTTGGGTATGCAGGCAGGCAAGCAGAATCGAAGCGGAGCCGAGCCGAGTTGCGCCGAGCGAAGGGTAACGAAGCTTCGGCGCTAGCGCCGACGACGTGTGACAGATGGCACCGGAAACAAAGCGATGGTGGCTGCAGCCGGGTGCCGGCCGTGTCGTTTCTTGTCTTGTGTGGGTCGTCGTCGTTCGCGCGGTGGGTAGGGTGGGCGGTGATGCGTTGTACCGTGGCTTTCACCGTTGTTTTTTTACCGCGTCGCTTCGTCTCACCTCGCTTCCGTAACCTAGTCGATTTGAACACCCCACCAATATCATCGAAACAATTTTTTTTCCAGGTATGGCATCGTCGTTACCGTTACGTCATCAATGGATTGTTGTTTTCACCGTCGCACGTGGTCATCGGTCGCGATCGGCTTAGCGCTGTCCTTGTGCATTTTTATGCACGTTTATGGTCGTACAT